GGGGGGGGGGGGGGGGGAGGGGGAGTAGTAAATATGCTGGAGGGCCACGCTAAGATTCAGAGAGAGCTTGACAGATTGGAGGATTAAACTAAAAGAAATCTGATGAGGTTCAATAAGGACAAGTGCAAAGTCCCGCACTTAGGACAGAACAATCCCATGCACTGGTACAGGCTAAGGGCCAACTGGCTAAGCAGCATTTCTGCAGAAAAGGACCTGGGGGTTATAGTGGACAATAAGCTGAATATGAGCCAACAGTGTGTCCTTGTTGCAAAGAAAGCTAATGGCATACTGGGCTGCATTAGTAGGAACATTGCCAGAAGATTGAGGGAAGTGATTATTCCACTATTTTTGGCAGTGGTGAGGCCACATCTGGAGCACAGTGTTCAGTTTTGCACCCCCCTCCCCCACACTACAGAAAAGATGTGGACAAATTGGAGAGAGGCCAGAAGAGGTTAACAATAATGGTTAGGGGGCTGGGGCACATGACTTACAAGGAGAGGCTGAGGGAACTGGGTTTATTTAGTCTGGAGAAGAGAAGACTGAGGGGAGATTTAAATACCAGCCTTCAACTTCTTGAAGTAGGGTTCCAAAGAGGATGGAACTAGACTGTTTTCAGGAGTGGCAGATGACAGAACAAGGTGCAATTGCATTAAGTTGCAGCAAGGGAGGTTTAGTTTAGGTTTTAGGAAAAACTGTCTCACTAAGTGGGTAGCAAAGCACTGGAACAGGTTACCCAGAGAGGTGGTAGAATCTCCATCCTTAGAGGTTTTTAAGGCCTGGGTAGACAAAGTCTTGGCTGGAAGGATATAGCTGGGGCTGGTCCTGTTTTGAGCATGGCGTTGGAGCAGATTGCCTTCTGAGGTTCCTTCCAACCCTAATTTTCTATGATTCTACAAACTGTGCAGATTCCACTACTACCAGTCAAGAAACCAGGGGCTGCATTTAGCTCTGTCAGGATGAAGACCCTACTAGTGTGGAAAAGAGGCAGATTTTGTTTCAAGGCTTTTGAATGGCTAATGGGGTAGAGATGCACCTTGTAGGCTAAGTGAATCAGGGATATACAAGCTTTCATGAGCAAGATCATTTAATCATATGCACCAGCTAGCATCTTCATCAATTAGCATCTGCTGAACTGAAGTCTTGCTCATGAAAGCTTGTACATCTCTGATTCAGTTAGTCTGTAAGGTGCATCACCCTGCCTTTTGCCTGACTTCACACTAATACGGCTAATTACTTCTCTCTACTGATAAATACAAATGTGAAAAATGTCATGTTATAATTTTCTGGTAATATTGCTGTGTGTTTTGCTTTCCTATAAATTTTATTTAAAAGATATGAAATGTTTACAAGTACTATCAAACTCATCACAGGCACATTTCATTTTAACCCCCTGAAGCAATACAGAGAACAACCCCAACCCTGAAACAAAGCAGATAGTTGGGTCAGAAGCTGCTAAGAAGTTCATTACTGTTATTGATTTTAAGTGGAACGTGCTCTGATGGTCAGAAATTAAAATCTTAGACAGATTATTTAAAAAAACATCAAATACCCCATGAATGCAGCTTGCCTTGTCTCCTTTAAATTGCAAGTATTTAAGAGACATGCTTCAATTCTGGACTGCATCTGAAGTTTTTTTTGCAGTGCAAAGGGCTGGTCTTGTACTAAAAGGCTGGAAAATGTTTTTAGGGGAAAAAAAACCCTCTGAGTACAGCGTCTAGGCTAGATTTCCAGAGGAAGTTGAGGCCTCCAGCTCTACACAGGAAGCAATCTTAGAGCAGGCCTTAAATGCCAGATTCCAGGCAGAGTTTAACTAACCACTGACAGCTCTGTAAACAAACCAGGGACAAAAAGAGAACAGCTTTCCCTTTTCTGGTAGTCATTTTTGGTTTGGGGGCTGCAGGGGAATTCTGTAATACACGGCTTGATGGGATATAAACCAAGGCTGAAAAGGCTTTGTATATGAAGAAGTATAAAGGGGAAATATTTCATGGACTAAATCATCAAAAAAGAAGGTATGGCATGGTTAAAATACATGGATTAAACTACAGAAAATATCACTATGTTTGGTTCCTTAAGTAGGATTTATACGTAACTTGGATCCTTCTGGGTGGTATTTAAAAGCTCTGGCTTCTTTTCTGCTTTCTTTTTCTTTTTTTAGGATTAACCTTTCCAGAACGTCTTTTTATCTGTGCAGCTAGGGAAAACAAGAAATCTGTTGTGTAGCATTTTACTGTTTCCAGTAAAATTTAAAGTAAAAAAACAGAGTTACAATCTTGCTGAATTCTTGCTATTGTTTGCAGGAAAAGACCTGTGACGTTACGAACAACTAGACTGCGGCTAGCAGATATATACAGTACTTAGTTTAATGTATGTTGATTTAATTTTAAGTAGGAAACTAAACTCAGGAATGGACTGTGTTTATCCTACTAGGCATTTCATTAATCTTGTTTATCTCAGCAATACTGTGGAAGTTACATTTCTTGATAGAAAAAGAAAATAGTTGCAGTGGAGTTTAAAAAGCAAAACAAAACTGATTTAGCTCAGTTGGGTAAATGCATCCATTGTATTCTGTGTAATTTGTCCACTCTCCTCCTTTTAGATTTGGATCTTTTCGGAACTTCGAGAGTTTGAGCAGGCACCATGGATGACTTTGAACGCCGCAGGGAACTCAGGAGGCAAAAGCGTGAGGAAATGCGCCTTGAAGCAGAGAGGTGAGGTGTTGCACTGCAAAAAGGTGATGGGGGGGTTGATCTTTTAAAAAAAATTATTAACAGTGGCTTGAAGATTCTTATGCCTAAATATCTAAGAGTGGGACACTGTTTACTGAACAGACCTCGCAAATGGCAAGTTTGGGGAAAAAATGGCAATAGATCCTGTTTCTATGAGGGAGGGTAAAAGTGAGTGGAAGCTGAGTACCTTACTCCCTTAGTTTTTTGGAAAAGGCTAGTCTTTAACTATTGTGTCTTACTGTAAGCACTGAAAGTGTAGTAGGGCAAGGTGCAATTATTCATAGTTTTGATAGGAATGGGGCAAGTGGTTAATTTTCAGATGTCATATGTCTGTTTGCTATCATGTTGGAATAAATGTGCCAGTGTTTCAGAACAGAGCCAAAACTAGGGGGTTTCAAATGTACATGGAAGCAAACCCCTTGGACTGCTCATTATGGCAGATCAGCAAATTGTGGGCCAAAATACTTACACTTCCTTGCAAATTATGTTTATAATTGGTTTGCAACCCCTTTGTGTAAATTACAAGTGCCACACCAAATTAAAATCCATGCAAATAAGAACAGAAGTTTGATCCTAAAAATTAATATTGTTAGCTTGGGCATGGTGACAAGATTGTATTAAAGGAACAGCTTTAATGTTTTGGGACTGAGATTGCTATACCTCTCTGCTGTTTTAGACCAATGAAATTATATTGATTTGAGAGTTTCTCCTGATCTACACGCAAGGAGGGCATCTGACACATTATATTAAAAAAAGAAAAATCCTTCTTCATTATTCAGATGATTTCAGTTGATAAGAATTGCAGTAACGAAAAAATATAATTTACTCCTCACTAAGCTCTCTTTCTTCCCCCCACCCCCACTTATTTTGGCTTGTATACTGAAAACATCAAGGTCAATTTTACTCTTGTTTCTAGTCATTTTCATACTCAGTTTCTCATGTACTGGAAAAAATGCTGCAGTATTTGGGTTTCAGACCATGCAGGGGGAAATGTACTTCATTTCAAAATGAAATATGTGAAAAAAAATCAGGGGATGTAATATAGGGTCTTTATTTTGTATACCTATTTTTATCTTATTTTTAAATAAAGTCTTGCCTATGTATTTTTTTTCAAACTGCGAGTGTCTAGGAGAAGAACCCAAATAGATTAGACCTGCTAGATGTCTTTATTTATTGTTGTTCTAATAGCAAAATGCTGTACTTCAGAATAGTATATCTGTCTGACATCAGTGTAGAAAACAGTTCTGAAAAGTTGCAAAGCCATGTGCAGATAATTAAACCCAGTGTGGCCAACCAGGAATGAAATTGCAAAAGTTGGCACTGCAATTGCCAGCCTGTTTATCAGTCTCAACAAGTAGGCCAAGGATTGAATGCAACCATGGAGAATGACTACCTGCTCACCCCATATCCCCTTTAGGCCTGCCTTACTTAATTTTGGTTGAATGGTGTAAAACAATCTTGCATAGCTGATGCCAATGCTGGACTGTTTGACTAAGTAGAGGACCTTTTGTCTCCAGACTATGCAGCTGGTACTTCTCACCCCATAGTTAATTTAGAAAGAAATTAGAGTAAAATGGTGTGTTTGTTGCAGTTGCTGATGTTGATTTAAGTACCAGTCACACTTGCTGATTGGAAGAGGCCTGCTGTTATCTGAAGCCTCAGAATATTCAGATTTCTCACATGGTGAAGCAGTTCCCAGTTCTGGTGAGCATCCATTTATTCCACGTGCAACCATTTTACCAGTTTTTAACAGCATGGTATAATGAGCACATGTGGTATATATCTTTTTTTTATTTGAAAGGAAAGATGGACATTGCTGCTAATAATCTACTTTCCAACCATGTATTCTTGTAAAGGATCCTGGGTAGTGTAGTTTGAGAGGCACTCCCTCTACTAAGGAAAACTAGAATGTGAATTTCCATAAGAGGACATTCTAAATATTATTAGGAAAACTCCCACCCATACTGGGGTTGTCAATATGGAGTTGCCTGGACATCATGGATGCAGCTTGACTATGTCAATGCAGAGATCAGCTGGAACCTGGGCTGGGGCATCAGAAATCAGGAGTTGGCAGGTAGCTGCTATGAGGAAACCCAAACTTTTTAAGAAAGATGGTTCACTGTAGTCTCTGTGTTCATGCATAATGAATACTAACGTCATGGGGACAAGCCCAGTGACCACTTGTCAGGGGATCTACATCCATTACAGGGACTATACACCCTAACTGAACATTAGTGGAGGATAGATTTGCTGTCCAAGGGGAATAGGTATTTACTTGTCATGAATAGAGGTTGTTGCGTCAGTGGAATGACAGTCACCTCGCTCTATGATGCCTCCTTCTTCAAAGGAATGCTTTTGCCCTTGAATGATTTACTTGCCCCCTTGTAGGAATTTTTGTTGGTATTACTGTGGTAGTCTCTTTGAATGAGGTAAATAAGATCCATGAAAGCATGTCTTGGAGTAATGAGGCTCATTTCCATGTACCGTACCCCTTTCAGGAGCTTCAATAATTTTACTGCCAAATTACTGCAGAATCACTCCATATCTTTTCCCACACAAATGAGCACTTATAGCAATAAGCTGCAGTATGCAAAATTTTGCAGCATTCTCTCTGGTATTGCCAACCTCATGTTGAAAATCATGAGTCAAGCCCCTTAAAAATTATAAGGCTGCTCTCAAAATCTTAAGATCTTAGCAATAATATGTTTTGGGTTCTTGTTCGCTTTCCATTTTTTAGGCTTTTGAGGTTACATTGTCAAACTCTTTTCTGCAACCACAAAGCCTAAAAGCTGAGATTCGGCCTGAAGCTGAGAGTCTCATGACATTGTGCAACTAGGGTTTCCAGGGAAGGCCCTAATGTTGTGAGAATCAAGATCAAATTGTGTTAAGAGCTGCCAACTCTGTTACTTAGTCCCATTAAAATCCTGACTGAGGGCTGCAGTGTTGGCACAATCATTAGTGAATAAGTGTTTAAGTATTCATATTAGTCCCTTCCTGGGAATAATTTTTTAAAGTCTTGTGACTCTCTTCTACTTTAGAATCATACCACAAAGGTCCTTGCATGTGTAAATATAACAGTGTTTTATTTATTTATTATTGCCCTATCTTGAAAAAAAATCTTCATTTTATTCTTTAAGTGAAGTTAGCATTGTGATGGCATCAGGGACTAAATGACTACTTTTATGGTAGGAAATTGACCCTGCTGGGTAATTTTAGCAGTGTCCTGTCAATGGACCTGAGCCCTGTTCTAAAGAAACTGTCTCTAGGTTTGAGATTGTGGGGCCCACTGAATGCATCCTGTAGAGTTTCTTGTACCTTCCTCTGAAGTCTCCTGTGTTGGCAACTGTCAAAGACAGGACAGAGGAATAGATGAACCATTAAAGCTGGCAGTTCCTCTGTCCCTATAAACATTTAGTTTATCTATGAGAAGTGTCAACTGAGGGTAAGTATACACTTGTGATAGAGACACCTGTACAGAAGGATACTGCAAACTGGACTGAAACCAAGTGATTTCATACTTGTCAGCCGTACAGTTGTTATATCGTACAATGCTATACTGCAGTTTATTGCTATGAACCAGTGACCCAGAGGTAAATACCCCACTTCAGCCCGTATTGTTCATCCTATTCAAGTAACTCTGTGCTATCGTTTTAACAACATGAAAAAGCCATATGTGTGTGTTCCCTGAGCATGTGGTTAATTTGCAGAATTCCATATGGAGCAAATTCAGTCCAGCTGCTTTTCAGGGTTGAAGGGGACAGAGGCAACTATGTCTCATGACAGGGCAAGGAGATGGCCATGCCTGCAGTGACTTAGCTGCTGCATGTAGCCCTGACAGGATGAATATACTTAGGAGTGACATGAGGAAGCTGCCTTTCCTCTTCAAAGACTAGGAGAGTGATTCTCCATTGGCCTGTATATTGTGCAGTCCTTTGCATCAGTGTGAAGTGAACTTAAAATACACTAAAACCAAGTACTTCTCTTTTGCAATCACTTCTGACTTTATTGTTTCATTCTGCTGCCGTTGTAGAAGTCTGTGATTGCCACAGATAATCAGAGCCAACAGGTGCATGCTAGCCAGTGACACCATATGCAACAGAATGGAAGCTGTATCCTGCATTTAAATGTCCATGGGAAGTCTGTGCACCGGCTGATGATAAGATAAGGTCTGAGGTCCTAATCCATAGCCTGTTAAAGTTAGTGAGAATCTTTCAGTTGATTTCATTGGGTTTTGTTTGGAGCCCTAACTGAGCGATCAAAGGTGGAAGATTTGTGTGACAGTGGCAGTGGCAGCTTCGGATGAACTCTCCACCTTTCCAGCCACAGGGCACATGTTGTGCCACAACAGGTGTTGGTACAAAAATGGGCTACAGAAATATGTGGCAGGAAAACCCTCCACACACATATCTAAAGTGCAGTGGGCCAATAAAGCTACAAATTATATACTAACAAACAAACAAACAAAAAAAGCAGGGGGGGTGGGGATAAATCTTTACCTGATTAAACTGGAATCTCTTCGTTGTCACTGCATATACATAGATTTAGGACAACTGAGGAGCTTTCCCAATTAACACTTTTGAAAAGCCCCCTTGAAACCAAGTCACCTTCAAAATGCAGAGTACTGCTTTGGGTATTATGTGCCTCCTGTCAGAAAGTGAGACATTCTCTGTCAAAAATGTTTCATGATTTTGATGCTGGTGGAAATTACAATATAATAACTCACACTAGAGTCATACAGGGTGTGGCGAGTTCCAGGACAAGGTTTCTGTCAAAGTACCTATGTCCTAACTTGCAGCTAAATTATTTTTGTTGTAGGAAGTATTGAGGCCATTGACAATAGGGCAACTCCTTTGATTTCAGCATCAACCCATTGTATATGACAAAGTAGGTTGTTGCATATGAAAATACATAGAAATCATATAAAAGTAGGATTGGAAGGGACCTCCAGGGGTCGTTTAGTCCAACTCTATAACTAAGGCAGG